GCCACTAGTCTATATATATAAAAGCCTAACGACCTTTATGACTGTTGCGACCAAACAACTGGAATGACTGGCTGACCAGTTGCTATGATGCTCAATGCAGGAGCCGCCCCCTGGTGGTCAGTGTGCTCCCACAGCCAACCTCTGTGGCCCCTCCCCCCGGCCAGTCCCTCTCTCCAATCGGCCCCAATTGGGGTGGTGGCGGCCCCCAATCTCCCACGGCTCTTCTCCCCAGCAAGCCTACCTCCTGTGGTCCCTCCCCTCTGCCAGCCGTCCCCACTGATGGCCCCGATGGGGGGGAAGCTGGCCAACCTCCTGCGGTCCCTCCCCCATACCGGCCACGACCCCCCACCCCCCGGCCATAGGCCCCAATCGCTGGCCCAGCCAAGGGAACCCACCCATGCACGATTTCATGCCCTGGGTCTCTAGTATTGTAATAACTATGGATGGTGCCAGGTGGGTACTGGAAATACTGGGGAACACTCTGTAAAGTATATGATGATCTAACCACTATGCTATACACCTGAGACTAATGCAAAATAATACTAAATATAAACCATAATTGAAAAATAAAATTAAAACCTCCTTTCAAAAATAAAAAAGAAGCACCCATTATAAGCTTTAGACACACCTTATCCAGCCACACATCCTGCCCCTCCCCTACAATAACCAGAAAGAGGATATTGTAATCAGACTGATAGGCAAACAGATGTCCTCAAAGACTAATCTGAATATGCTATCAAAGAAATGTGTGGGTGGTCTTTCTCCTTTGCTAGTGGAAGTGGGGTCCTTATGATATCTCAAGAAAAAGAATTTTCTGCGACTCGCACTGGAGGATGAGTGATATTTATTCGTGTGGAATTGCATCCCTCCGTTTCGAAAGTCCCATTTCTCTTAATCCAGTCCTGGAAGATGTGCAGCTGGCGCTTCAGCAGAGCTAAAAGCAAAGCCCATGTCCAGAGCAGAGCTGGGTCCAGTTTGGCATTAGGCTAGCTACCGTCCATCAGCCCATTGTGTGGGGCCCACATGGCTGTGGGAATTGTGGGTAAATGCAGGGGTGTGAGGCAAGAGGCAAGAGGAAGAGAGAGCAAACTCCTTTGTTTAGGAGTTAAAGTATCTCAAATCTTCCCATGCTTGCAGTGGCCATGCTATTCTGGCCACTGACCTGCTCCCAGGTGTGAGCCATAGACAAGAACCTTCCCTGTGTTACCGAGACTTTACTGGGCATGCGCCTATTCTTTCCCTGTCTAGTCCGTTTCCCCAGTGGGGACAGGCTGGTGGCTTCATGGGGAGTATTCAACTGCAGTTTCCTGGAAAAACTGCATAAATGACTATACTATTTGGCCTTTCCTTTGCTCCTTTTATCTTATGAATATCCAGGTTATTTACAATGGTATCAAATAGACATTAGGAATGACTAGGTTTTTAAGAAAAACCAATACCCTGACAGGAAAATGCCAAATTCAAAAAACAAACAACTGATACTTGAAAAACAAATTTTAAAGTGGAAACAGAAATTTTTATTAGTCTGTCATACCCATAAAGCAATAATTGTTTGCAAACAGAAGGAAGCAGCCACATTCATTGGAAACAAAAATGGTATCAACCAATAAAAATGCAATAGCTGGATTAATTACTGTTGGAAGACAGTTCTCCTTTAGTCTCTTGCATTTCTGTACATCTTGCAAAGTGAGGCACTGACTGTCCCTTGTTTTACACTATCTTTTCAAGGATGTTTATTTAGTAAATACCTTGGGAAATAGAGACAGTGTCTCCCTCCGGAGCAAAGCATGCTTACTATTCAGTATAATGAAAATGTTTCCCTCTGGAGCAAAAGGCAGACATGCTTATAAAAAGACTCAAAATCCCTAAGCTCAGCATTCCTGTCTGTCACACAGGCTCCTGGATGTATGGATTAGATCTGGCCTTTTTTGTATCTCCCTGTGGGAATTAGGACTCAAGAAACCAATGCTGATACTCTGGCTACTGCCATTGTGTGAGTAATAAGCTGTCTCCGACCCAGGAGTCTCATGTCTTCTTTCAGTATCTATTAATCTGTAGCAGGCTAACTCACAGATAGAGGAAAATCTCAAACCCTTCACAGTTCTTAATTATTTTAATAGACATACTGAGGGCCTAAAATAATGAAATGAAAAATCAAGTCATGGTATTATCCCAGAATTTACCTCAAAAATAATTATGGAGTATGGAGGGTAGTTAAGAAAAATAGTTAAGAAATTCTGAAAGAACAGAGAGAATAGAAAGAAGTAATCAACAAAAATAGATAAAAATTTCTAAAGCCTAAACAAAGATTTATATTGAAAGGCCATAACATATCAACAAATTTCTCCATAGATATTTCATTACAAAGAGAAAATGCTACATCTACAAGGTAAAAGCTGGCAGAAACCACCTTAACCAAGCAATCAATAACACTTAACTAACATCATTAATAATGGAACAAACTGATTCATGTGCTTTCTGACACAACATAAGAAGGTCAAAATATCACTTCCATAATATTCTTGCCAAAAGGTTTACTCGTAATCTAGACATATGAAATCATCAGACAAATCCAATATGAAAGACACTCTATAAGACAACTGGCCTGGACTCTTCTTTCAAAAATATCAATAACATGAAAGACCAAAAAAAGATAAGGGTGCTGTTCTAAATAAAAGGAAAATAAAGAAACAGAACAACTAAATGTAGTCCATAATCCTTAATTGGATCCCTTGATTTAAAAAAAAAACTATAAAGGATATTATTGGAACAATTACGGAAATTTTAATATAGACTATTAAATAATGGCACTGTACCAAATTGCATTGACTCATATTTAACCAAAGATTTTTTGGGATACAATAATTATTTAGAGGTTATATAGGAAAACATCCTTGTTCCTTATGAAATATATGCTGAAGTAATGAGGATAAAGTGTCATTAACGTCTGCAACTTACTTCTAAATTGTTTATGTGGAAAAAATATATGTGATCAATATAATATATATGAAACCTATGTACAGTACATACACATATAGATGAGACAGAAGCAGAGAGAATGAAATATAAAAGAAAATATGGCTAATTATTAACAATTGGAGAAACTAGAATATCTGGGTGTCCATTGTATCATTTTTGAAAGTTCGCTGTAGGTTTGCTAATTTTCAAAATAAGAAATAGAAGGAAATTGCCCTAGTCTGTTTAGCTCAGTGGATAGAGCAGCAGCCTGCAGATTGATTCTGGTCAAGGACAGGTACCTAGGCTGCAGGCTCATTCTGGCCCGCATTGACTCATAAAACAAGAATTATTGCACCCCTTTTAAAGATAAGACACTGATTAAGATAATATGTTCTAGTCACAAAATGGTGAGGGCAGAACTTTGAACCAGAGTATGCATTTTTTTCCACTAAGCCAAACTGATTATTTTAATACTAAACTCATTTTCCCTTAAAGAGACAAGATCCACCATCTAAAATTTCAACCAATAGTTTTACAATCCTGTACAGTCAGAAATAGTTTTAGTGCAAATGCCAATCAAATGCCAAAAAAAATCTATAATAATAAAAGCATAATATGCTAATTAGACCAGGTATCTTTCCGGACAATCTTCCCGATGAAGGCAAGGCTGCCAGGGAAGCCTGGGTCCCGGGTGCCAGAAGGAAGCCAGTGCCGGCAGCCAGGGGAAGGAAGGCCTACTCTTGCATGAACTTCGTGCACCGGGCCTCTAGTTACTATAATAAGAATCCATCCCTAGACGTATTTCGGAGTCCTTTCATAACTCAAAAATTTAAAGATAACATTCTGAAATTTTTTCAGAGAGTTTGTGAGCTGACACAAGTACTAAACTTCAAGTCCAACGTGCAAGAGCTATTCTTGTTCACCCACATTATAGAGCTAGGTCTGGAAAATGAGGAAAAGGAGGCTATTGCTTGCCATTACAATCTCATAGGCGTTTCAGGAATACATGAATAGTTATTTTACTTTGAAAAAGCTATAGAATGGTATTTGTCTTATAAAAGTAGAATTAGTGCAGGCAGTAAGTGCAAACAAAGTGGTCATGAATTGGATTCTATTGATGCTTTTGTTGTAAAAGGTGTACCTGAGGAAGGTAGAGAGAGGACTCCAAGAAGGAACATTATACTACCAGTTCTCTAAAGCTAATATGCCTGAAACTAATTAGTATACCTGAAACTAATATAATATAATATAATATAATATGATAATATAATATACCTGATATATTTAATTTTGAAATAAGGAGGTGAATTCATTTTGAAATAAGGAGTAAAACCTTTGGGCACTATAGTCCTGATGGCAGGACAGGGGCCACTGTGACCCCTAAGCCAGGCAGAGCCCACAGAGCAAGGAATTCCATCTGTGTGTATCTTCTTTGCTGCCCAAACCATACCCCATTCCCCAAGGCATTTCAACCTCACAGACTAGCATCCTACGCTGACCTGCCCAGAGGTGGGGAGCAAATGGACTGCATTTGCTGCACTCTCCCAGGAGGCACACTGCAAAAGCTTTTAAGAGGTCAGTGCCCTCCCATTGTGAAGTGGTAATATGCTAAATTATGTGCTTAATTAATTTCCACCCAACAGCATGCCATAAAATTGGAAAAGCAATTCCATTACCTAGGATCAATGTGCATAAAGTCCACGCAAAATGATCAAAAGTTCTCAACGGTAAATTTGTGTTTGTGCTTTGGCTGCGTATTCAGAGGCTCATTTCTACTCTCGGCTGATGAATGGTATACAGTTCATCACCACTTAATGGCTTATCTCCTTCTCCTGATCTAACTCCCCAAGAGTGGGTTACAGAGCACCAACACTGCATCCAAGACGGGACCTTTACTTTTGATCTTCAAATTGCATCGACCTCAAGCTATCTCTCCCAGAATGTTGTGCAAAACATGCTACACACATACACACACACACATTTATTTTTACACATCAATTATTTTAGTATTCAGAAATTAGTGTTAATGGAGCATTTGGTCCAAAGCATAGCCAACCTTCGTAATGACGTCTTGGGCCTACAGCTGCACTTATGATTTCTTGTCTGCCTCCTCTTTACCAACACCCCCTCCCCCGGGCCCCACCTCCCTGCCCCTTAGGAAAGGAGCCTAGCGGGGGAACCAAGAGTTTGGATTGCAAAATTGAAGAGAGCACTGAACCACCTGCTCTAGAGGACTCCGCTTCATCCCCCGTCGATACGCAGCAGCATGCCTGGCAGGTTTCCACAGACATTGAGAACACTGAGAGGTAAGTGGGAAGTTACCCTAAATAGACCGCCAATCCTCCTCCACTCCTCTGGGCTGCAGAGAGTCAAGATTTTGTGTTTCAGAGTCAGAAACAGAGTGCTCAGAAAGCTGGACTGAGACGTGAAGGGGTCCAGACTGCCATGGAACCAGCAGAACCTCCTGCAGAGGCAGCTTGCTCACCCCACTCTACCACAACCGCGTCTCCATGGAAATAACACAGTGTGCTTCCTTGGCAAGGGAGAAAGTTGGATCTACGTACCGTCACAGCTTATCTGGGTCCCCAGATTGTGCCAAGATGCCTCTGGGAGGTTCTCGGATTTCAGATGCTTGGAATGGCCTGCTTAGCTGCCACGCAGGGGCTGCGCATGCTGTCTAGTTCACAAACAGCTTTTTGCTGGGCTCCCGTCCCTTATTCTCCCAGAATGTAGCTGATGGCCCCTTAGTGGTCAAAGCGAGTTAATGCATCTGTCTTAGCGAGCAGTTGCTCACTGCTAGACAGGGAAGAAGAGATTCAACAGTGATTCTGTTTCACTTGAGGGGAGGGTGCAATGATAAGTGCCATGTCTCATCTAGATGCTAAAAATGCTATTCTGTGAGGCAGAAGGACAAGGTGCTTGTTTATTGTCCTTCAAGCTAATATCTTGTCCTTTGCTACTGATGTCCCCAGCGTCTGCACAAAGCAGCTGAATGAATGCTGGGCATTTCCAACCGGCACTCTGTGTGGGGTGTGAGGGTGTGTGTGTGGGGTTGGGGGGTGGGGGGGAGTCACTGACAAGATAAGAAACATTTTCTTTTTTAATTTTTAGAAATGTAACACACGAGGGCATTTATAGCCATTGTGGTTCTACTTTCAGATCATAATATAATTCTAAAGCTAATTGCCAAATTTCTGTGTTTTATAGAAAATTGAAGCATGTGGTAATTATGTACTATTAATAAAACTTGGATTTTGTATAAGCTTGTAAATCCAACAATTCAAACAATAAAGCTGTTTGGCACAGTTTGCTAGAACTATAGACAAATGATGAGGGGGTGATTTATCTTAATTTATAAAATGGAAAATGTTTTGCTCTATGCCCAGGAAGAAATATCTGCCAGAGGGCTGTGGTCAGGGCCTAAGCCATCAGCAAAGCCTTTTCCTTTTTTGAAGCTTTGCAGAAGCAAGCTATACCTAGCCGTAACAATAGGGGCGTCTAGCCCAAGGAGCTGGCCGTGTTTCAGTTCATCCTAAAGCCTGGATTCAGTTTGAAGGAGATGGGAATGACTGAGAGAAGCAGGAATATAGACCTGTCTGGGAGGGTGGCTCCCACAGTTCCTCTGTTTTTCAGCCCTAGGATCTCACACTGAGCTGCACATCACAATCACCAGGAGGTCATTTTAAAAACATTGATGACTGAACCCCACCATAAACCAACCAAATCAGGCTCTCAGGGAGTAGGGCTCTGCAAAAGGTGATCCTCCCATGAAGCGTCCAAGGCTGAGAAAGGGTGCTCTCGAAGGAGACCTTGCCTCCCATTCTGCATTACTAGCCCTTCCCCACCTTGTGCCTGCCCACCACCCACCATCCCATCTACCCTTGGGAATGCCACAGGAAAGCATAGGGTGCCCTTGTGTTTCTGGATGCAGGGCCCTGTCCTCCTTCTCCCTCTCCTCAACTTCTCTTTCTAGAAATACCCTTTGGGGCTTAGCAGTATGCAGTACCGCACAGACAATCCTTACACCTGCGGAAAGTGTTCTGCGTGTTTATACAGGTGTATTTCCACAGATCCACAGGCTGCTTTCTGCTCCTTTCCAAGAGCTCCTCCCGAGTTCCTTCTCACATACCAGTCAATACTTGAGGAGGAGACCCCATAGGGGTCTCCCTAGGGCAGCGGTTCTCAACCTGTGGGTCGCGACACTTTGGGGGGTCGAACGACCCTTTCACAGGGGTCGCCTAAGACCATCGGAAAACACATATATAATTACAAATTGTTTTTGTGATTAATCACTATGCTTTAATTATGTTCAGTTTGTAACAATGAAATTGGGGGTCACCACAACATGAGGAACTGTATTAAAGGGTCGCGGCATTAGGAAGGTTGAGACCCACTGCCCTAGGGCAAGTGGTTATCAAACTATACTCAACAGAACAGTTGTGTTTCATGACATGGACTGAGGGATTTCCAACCTAAAATTAAAATATGGCTCTATTTCCTCAAATTGCAGGGAAAAAATTGATTAATAGATAGTATATCCTTCATTTTAAGATTATCCCCTGCCCCGGCCCCCTAGAAAAAACTTTTTTTTTCCCCCTTAAATCCTGGGTGACAGCTATTGCTTGCCTAACAAAAAAGATGTATCTGATATTTGCTCTTTCAAATGAAATCCACCACTATGTCTTGGGATTTCAAGGGTGCTGACTCCAGTGGATAACCATTGCTGGACATATGGGAAACCCTTATCCCAAAGATTTGAAAAGTCCATCTTGCCTCCTCCTACTCGGAAGATGGCTTCTGACTCTCCAGCTGTGTGATCTCATTGTCATAGGTAGTCTGGGATGAGGAAGGATGTTGGAGGTATGCAGTGTCAGACATATAGGCCAGTGTCTAGAGCAGCGGTTCTCCACCTGTGGGTCACGACCCCCTTGGCGGTTGAACGACCCTTTCACAGGGATCACCTAAGACCATCCTGCATATCAAATATTTACATTACAATTCATAAGAGTAGCAACATTACAGTTATGAAGTAGCAACAAAAATAATTTTATGGTTGGGTCACAACATGAGGAACTGTATTTAAAGGGCCAGAATGTTGAGAACCACTGGTCTAGAGGAGGCCCAGCTGTCCCACACCACCACCACCACCCCCACCATCCCCTGTCACATCTCTCTCTTTCTCTCCCTCTCTCTCTCCGTTTCATCCACTATGAAGAGCTCTTCTCTGACAGTGTTAGAATTTGTCATACTCTCTCCCATCATTCCAAGTCAGTTTAATAAGTATTAGCCCTGTGAATGCTTAACACCTGTGTTACACCAAATTCCAATCCTGGTAAAGAGAGACAATAGGAAGTGAACCTACACAACCACAACAGCCATCTGACCAGCACCCAGCCTCAGCTTTACCCAGGGTAACCCCATTATTCTAGTTGTGTGTCCTCCGCCTCCCCCTGGAAATCTGAAGTACTATCCTCGTGACCAGAGGCTCTTCCCTGATCTTGGCCAGGTCCAACCCGTGGCAGAGATGAGGGCTCCTGCAGCAGAATGTCCCAGAGAAATCTTGGCCAGGCTGGTTCTCTTTCCTCCGAGAGTCACTCATCTTGGGTTGTTGTTTTTTTTCTTATAAAAGCAAAATAGATTCAATATTTGCTTGTTGCAGCTAGAGCTAGTACAATTAAGCACAGACCCTTGTCCTTCCATTGAATCACAGAACAGAGATTGCATTTCCAGAATTTACAGCTGACGATTTTTTCTTTCTATCACTTTTACAGAGACATGCGAGAAATGAAAAACCTTTTAAGCAAACTCAGGGAAACTATGCCTTTACCATTGAAAAATCAAGGTGAGTCATGTCATTTCCTTTTGAGGCAGAGGATGTTTTCTAACATGAGAACCTTGGGACGTGTTTCAAGAGAAATTAAAGCAAGTTCTCTTACACAAACAACAGAAAGCACTTGGTGTACCTTTGTGTTTTCTCAAAAAATGTGATAATAAGAATGGAATCCCTCCGGTGAACACAGTTTTGCCCGAAGATGGCCCAGATCTATCCTGGCCTCAAAGCAGACGTGTCCTCCACTGGCCCTGTCAGTCAAGAGCAGTTATCTGTTGCCGGAGCTGTGGAAGCGCTATAATACCAGGTGTGGCAAACACAAAAGAACTGAAGTCTTGGCCTTTGCCTTTAAGAAGTGTACAGCCTAGTGGAGAATACTACCAAAGGGAGATCTCTTCCATCTACACATTTAATTATCTAAATAAAGTAACAGTAATAGTTAACATACATTGGGAACTTCAAGTGTGCCACTACGATTCAGCACCCAACTAGACTTGATGTCTATATCGCCTAGCAATTCTGATGCTACCTGGATATAATAACAGATCCCACAAGTCAAGGGCTCTGTCCTAAAGACTGATACCTTCCCCCCCGTCCCCCCAACACACACACACTTCAGATATCAATGGCAATTTAAGGGTTGTCACTTGTGCTTCTGACCAACTGGCTATGGATTGAAAGTCCCAACAACCCCCTTCATGGGTTTAATTTGCTAGAGTGGCTCACAGAACTCAGAGAAAACTTTCACTTACTAGATCACCAGTTTATTATAAAAGGACATATCTTAGGAATAGCCAGATAGACTAGATACATAGGACAAGGTATGGGGAAAGTATGCAGATCGTCCTAGATCCCCACATGTCCACCAACCTGGAAGCTCTCAGAGCCCCATCCTTTTGGGCTTTTATGGAGGCTTCAGTACAGGAATGATTAACTAAATCATTGGTCATCGGTTATTGAAATCAATCCCCAGCCTCTCTCTCTTCTTCTCAGAGGTCAGAGTTGGGACTAAAAGTTACAACCTTGTAATCTCACGGTTTTTTCCCCTGGGAACCCGCCTCCAATTCTTACACGGTTTCAAAAGTTTCCTCATTAACATAACAAAAGACACCTCTATAACTCTCATCACTTAAGAAATTCCAAGGGTTTTAGGAGGAAGACCAAATATATATTTATTATAAGTCACAATATTACAGCTACTGTCCTAAATATATTACTGTAGATTATTAACTATTTTAACTTATTTAATTCTAACAACATCATTGAGAGGAATGCTATGAATGTTTCCAATTTATAGGAAACTGAGACACAGAGAGGTTAACTGACTGAATCAAAGTCACACAGGCTGTAAGTAGAAAGGCTGGGAGATGACTCCAGGCAGTACTTCTCCAGAACTATTCTATAGGAGTAGGCACCCTCACCCAGAAAGGGAAAAGGGATAGTCCATGAGGGAGGGACTGCTGTAAGCTTTTGTTAACTATTGTAACTCCAGTACCTAAAGCAACCCTGGAACACAGTAGAATAACATTGGCCACGAACAAGAAATGTTTGTTAAATCTGCACCCAACGTTGCAGCCCCAGGTCTGAAGCTGTGTACAAGGGACTAATAATAATGGTAAGCACTTTCCCTAAGCATACATGGCCGGAGCAGCCTTAAGTGAAGCATCAGCCTCAGAGACTGGTACGTAGAGGGCGGGAGAGGGTTTTTAGCGGTAAGAAACTCCTGTGTTCCTGTTCCCTGTGGGGAGATCTCCGTGTCTCCATGGGTTGCTATGGGAGTGGGCTTCTTGAGATATCCCAAGAAAAGAATTTTCTGAGACTCACAGGGGAGGATGAGATAGTGTAAAAAAGCTTTATGTCTCTGGAGTCACACACCTGCATTTCCAAGGTCCCGTTTCCCTTTGTCCCACTAAGGAAGAAGTCCCATTTGCCTTCAGCGGGGCTAAGATCAGAGCAAGGGCCCAGAGTTTCCATTCCATGTCCGCACCGTCCAGTACAGCAGTGGGCTAACTTAATTGGTGCTCACAGTTGCAGTCTCTCAGTCCATCGTGTGTGGGTCTCCAGGACCCTGGGCCATGCAGCTATGCAGGGAACATGGGCAGGAGCAAAGCCAAAGGAACCAGAGCCAAGGGAGAGCGCCAGGAGTCACAGCACTAGCTCCTTTGTCTAGGGGATTATGCATTTCCACATTTTTGCAGGTTTGCAGTGGCCCTGCCCACTCTGGCCAATGATCTCTGTTCCCAAGTTTGACTGCCAGGCACCTTCCCTACATCACCCCAACTTTCCTGTATAGGCACCCATTTTCCCCTTAGTCTGGTCCCTTCCCCCAGTAATCTGTGGGGAATGGGCCGGTGGTTCTCTAGGGAGTGTGAAATTGTAGCCTCCTGGTGAAGCTGCCCAAATGACACGCCTATAATGTCTGGCTCCCCCCTTTGCTCATTTCCTATTATTAATAACTAGCTAATTAAACAGTATCATTCCCACTGAGCAAAGCCTGGGCAGGAGGGAGCCCCGGGTGCTGCCTGCCCCTGAGCAAGGAGGGAGAGGACTTGGCAGCAGAGAATGAGCACCGCCTTGCTCAGAAGCAGCGTGGCAGCAGGTGGAGAGGTGGAAGTGAGAACACCAGACAAGGAGGCCAGGGAGTAATGTGGCCTTAGCCCCATGGGCTGGAGGCGGGTGTCAGAAAATAAGAGGCTGGGGATGTGGTGTATCAGATAACTGAAGAGCCTGGTGACCACGGCTAACTGGCTTGAGCCATGGGTGCAGTGTTTTGGTGACCTGGTGTCAGTTCTAAGGAAGCAATGTTTTACCACAACATGTGACCACACCATGCAAGTCTGTTGCTAGAAATAAGCCCAGTGGTTAGGAACAGGGACTTTGGATTTGAATGCTGGCTCTGCCACTTACCAACTTTATGACCTGGAACAAGTTGTTTAACTTCTGGAGATTTCCATGTCCTCATCCCTGAAAAAGAGATAGCAGTATCACTTGGTTCAGAGATTGTTGTGGGGATTAAGTGATGCAATGCATGTCACATACCTATTACCACCCTTACAGAGAGCAAACATTCGCAAATGCTTTACTATATTGTTGTTGGTATTGGTGATGTAACTATTGTTACTGCTATTTACTGGCTGCCCCAGCAACTCAGCTCAGGAAAACTCGAAGTCATCATCAAAGACAGCAGTCCCTGATGATATGTAGCATCCATGAAAGGTTGAGCCTGCAGTTCAGAACACTGATTCTCAAGACTTTGGATGTGGGGTTCATGTCTGAAGCTATCCTCAGCTTCCTAATGTGTTTGGCAAATCTATTCCCATCAACAGCACACAGGCCTCTCGCTGTACCTCACGTCCAGCTGCCCAGGAGGATGACGGCCCAGAGGGCCCCGTCTGAATCCCATGTATGCCATGTAGCCTCTTTTCTAAACCAGGCCATCCCAAACATCCCTTCTACATTTGGTGAAAATTCATCCACCAGTTTTTGAACCATGCATTAATGGAAAAACAAAATTTCATTTTACTTACTTAGAATGTTTTTATAATCATAAAAAATATAAATATTTTTGTGTAACTTTATATCACTTTTATAAACAGAAAGATAATTTGATTTTAAATATCATAATAGTAGTTAAAGATTGATACTGTAAGTAAAAACGTGAATGAGGCCCGGCCGGTGTGGCTCAATGGTTGAACATCAACCGATGAACCAGGAGATCACAGTTCAGTTCCCAGTCAGGGCACATGCCTGAATTTCTGGCTTGACCCCCCGTAGGGGGCATGCAGGAGGCAGACAATCAATGAGTCTCTCTCTCATCATGGATGTTTCTCTCCCTCTCCCTTCCTCTCTCTGAGATCAATAAAATTAAATAAACATGAATAAAAAGAGAATAGTCATTCAAATAAATGATACCCAGGACTTGAACCTTGAATCAATTTGGTGAATTCCAGTAAAAGGAAAAAGCTAGGAGAGGCAAGGACTTCTCATGGAGAGAGTGATGCAATAGGATTTTAAAATATTTTTTAAAATGAGGGAAGTCCTGTGGGTAATTCAGTTTTCTTCATTTGCGGGAGAAATGGGAACCCTTAGCATATGAAGATACATCTCTGTTCTCTACATGTTTAATGGGCGCTTGCAGCATGATGCCATTGCGAGCTGACCAGTAAAGAAAGGGGTGTGCGTCTGGGCCAGGGTCTGCGAAGGCCCCAGGGAAGGGGAACAAGTCTCCAGAGCTGGAAACACTTTTTAGCAGATGCAGATGGCACCATTTTAATGAACAAATCAGCCAGATTCCTTTCTCTGACTTCTTATTGCTGAACTGCACCTCAGGGACTTCCCCATCACCTTCCAGGTGATTTGTTTCTTATGCAGGTCTAGGTTAATATATGCAGGAAATGGTCTGGGTGAAATGTAGACAGTTTTACTCCATTTCTATGGGCCCTTATGGTCAAAACAATACTAACTGGTTGGAAACTATTATAGAAAGACATCTGTTTTCTTTTTGGCTTTTTATTTTCTTTCTCTTTTTATTCCATTTATGTGTGTTTGAAGCAGAGGAAAAAAGGGAAAAGATTCTACTCCTTGTCCCTCCTTTTCCTTCCTCAAAACCTGACCGTGTGAAAATCCTGCCAGGCGAGTGCTGGGGGAACCCACACTGGAAATGCTCAGCTCCTCTGGTCCCCAGGCTCCATCCCCATCCTCAAATCGGAAACTGTTCTGCATTTAGCATGGCACTTAAAGATTTAATCAGATCCCCACCCCCCCTTCCTGCCACAAGCAAAACTTGACTTAACAACAGTGTACTCTAAATTGACTTACAATGGCAAATAACGGAAGGTGGCCAAGAGCAGAGATTTTACTGGTTCGTGATTGTGCCTTCATTTTAGACAGGGCCTTTCAGGTTAAGACTGGAGACAAAGAGGTTCGTGAAGAAAGAGTGAGCCACCCTGTTCCTCCAGACAGTGTCCAGATCTCCTGACTCTCAGCCCGCGTTCTTTCCACTGCTTCAGTGA